CATTTTAAAAACACAAATAAGGGAATAACAAAAAAGAGAAGAAGTAAAAGAGAAAAAAACCCTTGATAGGACAATTATCTCATTAAATTGGCTTTTGTTATAATCAGAAATGGATCCTAAACAAATATTCAAAAACGTGTCTGAAGGGAATGATTTTATTAGTTTCAACGGAGTTATTTCAGTTATAAAAGACGAAGACAAATATTGTGATGAAGTTCCTGGATTAGTTGGGTTGTCTTCTTCGTCAGATAGATTTAATCAACAAACATTTGTAGAGACACTTAACTTAATTAGGAGATTTAATAAAGAAGTAAGTTCAGTAACAAGCGATCAACAACGCACAGAAATTAGAAATGTTTTTATGTTCAAAGCAATTAGTGGAGGAAGTGATGGACCTATTGATGGAAGTATAGTTGTTGAGAGATGTAAAGGAGCAGCAGAAAATGCTAAAAGTCTCAAAGAAATACTACAAAAAATAGGACAAAAAGCAGAGAAAGAAGAAAGGATTGATTTAGTTAAATTTAAAGAACTTGCAAATGAAGAAGAAGATACATTAATAAAGTGTTGTACACCTACAGGAGATCAAGAAGAAATAAAAGGAATAGAGAAAAGTATTCAACACTTTGATTCAATCAAAGAAGAAGGTAGAAATAAATTAGGATATAAAGAGTGTGTTGAATGTCTTGAAGCAGGAGGAATTAATGAAGCAGATAGTATTTATTTCATTGAAATTGCGGATATTGAGAATCAAGGAGAACTTGAACGAGAAGATTTTATTCGAAGTGGTAAATTAATAGAAGAATATTACAAGAATATGGGAGAAGAAATAAAAAATAAAGAGATAATAGATGAAGAATACAAAAAGATATTTGGAAAACTTGTTTTTACATTAGTTAATAAGAAAAATGAAGAAAAAGTATCAAAAGACATTATTTGTCAGGCAATGGATAAAATAGTAGGGAAAAAGATTAATGGAAGACCAGTTCAAAGTATAGAGATGAAAGGAGCAGAAAAAGAATTGAGTGTTGAAGAATTTATTGGATATTTAAAAGATGAAGAAGAAGAAGAAAGGATTCCAATGAGTAGTGAAAGAGAGAGTGAGGAGATTTTAAAAGAGCAAGAAGGAAAAGAAAAAAAAGAAGAGAAAGAAGAAGAAGAAGAAAAATATGAGCCAAGTAGATGTACAGTATGTTATTTAAGATGTATCTTTGGATGTATTGAGAATTACTGTGGGTATTAATAATAAAAAATAAATTGAATAGAAGTGATTTGGGTTTAAGAAAAATTTTGAGAGAGAAAAAGGAATAGGTTAAAAAGAAAACTTAATAAAAAGTAAACGATGGAATTGACTAAAGAGAAAGTATTTATGTTCTCTGAAGAACGAGAGAAATTTAAGAAATTTATTAAAGAAGTTAGTAAACAAGAAAAAGAAGGGAAATATTGTTTTGAAGAAGCAGAATTTAAATTTATTAAACAAAAAGCAAAGAATGAAAGAGTAATAGAAGGATTAGATACAGAAAATGGAATATTACATACATTATTATATAGAATGAAAAATGGATTAAGGTTGAATAAACATTTTGGGTTATTAAGAAACATCAATAGAGCACAAAATGAAGTAATAGAAATTCACAATAAATTAATAGAATGGATTGAAATATCATATACCAAAGAAGACTTAATAAAAGTTATTAATATAGTTATAGGAGAAATATTAATGATTAATAATGAGAGAGAGAAAATTAAAAAAGTAGTTAAAATAATAGAAATGTCAATGAATAGAGGACATGATATAGTAAATAAACTAGTGTTTGAAACGATTGTTGTTAGATTAGACACTATTTTACAAACACGAATAAGTGATTTAAATGGGATTTACAGAGGATTTCAGAATCTTATTTGGAAATATTCAGATGAAGAAATTAAAGAATTAAAAGAATTACCAAAATTTATTGGAGAAGAAATAGAAGAAACAAAGAAAACTGCAAAAGTGATATTAGAAAATGTAGTTATAGAACAAAGAAAAACAAACAAAATTCAAAGTCAAATTATTACAAAGAAAAGAGAAGAAAATAAACCAAAAAAGTCTGAGAAGGATATTAAGAAAAAGAAACAATTATCAAAATTATTAAGTAAGATGTAAAAAATAAAAGAGTTATTTAATTAAGAAATGATTCATCAAAATTTGTTTTTAATTGTAATAGATTAAGGTCAGTATCAGGACAAATAAATACAATTTTTCTAAGTGAGGTATAACCATCATATAAAATTGCTTGACGTACCGCAGAAAATACTGAAATAACCCGTTTAGGTAATTCAGAAGTATCTAATTCATGCATACAAAAATATAATTCATTAGTTTTACAACGATGTAAATAAAATATAAGGTTAGAATAAAATCTTTGATTCTTTGATGGATTATCTAAAATAAAAGGTTGTTGAAATTTACAATGAAGAATCATATGATAAAATAAATTACTATGCATGGTAATAAAGAAATCACCATATTCCATAGTTGGGTGTTTTTTATTAATTTCTAATAGTTGTTGGTTATAACTTCCAAATAATACATCATATTTTGCAACACTAGCAATTTGTTGTTGAATAGAATTATGATCATATCTTGCTAATGGTAATACTAATGCACTAATTTTGTCATTAAATAATGATTGTATTGAGTTATGTCTATTAGTTGTATTACTAGGTATTTCTCTGTCTCTAAACAAAGCTAATTCTGAATGGAATTCAATCATAATTTTATTTTGTTGAAACTTTAATTCTAAATTAAAGAAACATTTTTCACTATCAGGTTGTGGAAGGGTAATTGGAACTACTTCTCTTGAAGGTAATGGTTTTGTTTTCATTAAATATTTCCAAAATAAAAGATTAAATTCTTTATCTGTTTTACACAGATATTTTAATGAATCAAATATTTGAAAAAGGGTGTGTCTGTGTTGTACTGATGTAGTGGCAAATTTAACGTACAAAGGAAAGTATGTCAAATAATTCTAATATCATAAATATGGAGTAAATAAAACAATAAATAACAAACATATTTATCATCAAAATTAAAATAGACGTGACTGTCATCAATACTCCAATCATTAATAACATCATCCCAAGTTAGTGGGATAAGATTTTGTTCCAGAGTCATATTGAAATATCTTTTTAGTTCATATATTTTTAATAGAAAATAAAAAAAACCATAATAATAAAAATAAAAAAAAGAATTTTGTAAAGTAAAAAAGAAGAAAAGAAAAATAACATGAGACTCTACGGTTATTAATTTATATGAATTAATAATAACCGAGTTCTCAAACAAAAAATAATCATATAAGTTGTATAAAAAGTAACAAATAAGATGTTATGATAATTAGACTATATGATAATATTTTTTACTTAATTATTTATTAAAATATTAAAAAAACTAAAAAAGAATTGAGAATTTAATATCTATTAAATGAGTAATTCTACTACATCACCTCCTATTCAATTTTTTAAAGAAGCATTATTTCATGAATGTTCAATTAAATTAAATGATGGAACAATATTCAAAGGGAAAATGACATTAATTGATGGGTTAATGAATATTGTTCTTGAAAATGCAATAGAATATATTAATGGAAATAAAGACAATGAATATCCAGAATGTTTTATTAGAGGAAACAATAGTTTGTGTTATTAAAAACAATTCAAAAAGAGATAAAGATTAAATAAATAGTCTGTTATATTTCAGTTGATTAATAAAGAAATTTATTATTTAGTTTTTAAGGTTTTTTAATAAGTAAAAAAGAAGAAATAAAAAAAATAATGAAAAATGAATTACAATTCAAAAAGGATTTTTTAAGTTTATTAATTCCATGTTATACCAGTTGAAGGTGGATTTCTTTTTTGTTGTTGTCCATATCTATTTTCATCTTGATTAATAAAATAAAGACATTCTGTCATTCCTTGCATTTGTTCTTCCATCTCATCAATTCTTAATTTTAATGAAAATAACATATTATTAAGTTGTTGTAATTGATTTGTTGTTGATACACTCTCTTTTTGTAAATCTTCTAATCTTTGTAATAAACTACGATACATTTCTGCATTTTCTGCTTCTGCACGTTTAGGTTGTTGACGACGAATTTTACATAATAATTCGGGATGTCCTTCTTTAAAAAATGGATGATGAAAACATTGTCCAAGAGGATGGTCTACTTTATGAAATCCATAAATATTTAATTGTCGTACAAAACTACTAAAATTCGAATGTTTAAAGAACCTTGGAATAACAGTTGATGCTAATTGAACTGACTCTAAGACAACAAACCCAGGTCTATTTTGTTCTCTACTCCAACAAATCTGATGAATTAATTAAATTATTTCTTATTGTTTGTTGTCTTTTATTAATAAAGAAAAAAACAGACAAACTAAGTCTTTAGATTTTTCATCATTGACAAGTTCAAATAATTTAACTATAAATGTAGTAGGTGTATTATCATTTTGTTCATTTTGTCGTATCACATTCATTGGTTTTGTTAAATTTTAGTATATTTTATTCCTTATTTTTCTCATTATTCCAGAGGCTTCTGATTATTTAGGAAGAATTATCTATTCTGTTAAGCGATGCCGATAGAAGCACCCACAACATCCTGTGCTATTTTTTTTACGCGAAGAACTTTGTAGAACTTTTTCCTGTTTTTAATTTTTAGAAAAATTTAAATTAACTTTTTCTTAAAACTTTCTTCTAAACTTCCCCCCCTTTTAAATTTAATTTCTTCATTTTTTATTTCATTCTTTATTCTTGATTGATTTCTTCCATTTTTGGTGGGTTTTTACTGTGTTTGATCTTGTTCTCTTTAATACGCTCTTCAAATGTCTTCTGTTTCTCCTTTTCATATTCAATTAGTCTTTTCAATTCCTCATTTTCTTCTTTTGCAATTCGTATCTTCTTTTCTAGAACTTCAAGTTGTTCTTGTTGTTCTTTATTCATTTTCTGATTCTTTACTGAATTTTAGTTCATTGTATTTTTATTCATTAATCCTTTCTTATTCTCTTCCTTTTTTTTTCTCTCTCTCTAAAGAATACAATAGTATTCTTCTTATCTTATTTATTATGATGTTATCTTACCTTTCATTCTTCATGTAAATCTAAACTTTTCTATTTCATCCTTAATGTCATCTCTTGTTTGTCTCTATAAACTGATTTCAGTTGTTCTCTGGAAATAAAAGTTAATAAGAACATTCTGTTTGTTTGTTGAAGTAAATGACTCTGATGAATTTAACCAAGTTTTTGACAAGAAATGGATAATCATTCTCGTTTTATATGAATTAATGGAGAGGTTTTTGATTTTATCTCTTCTGAAGTGATTAGTGAAAAATACTAAAACAAGACAATAGCCAAATGGTTATTATAATTAATTTCATTAAATTGTTTTAAATTGTTATTTATTAATAAGACTATTTTACATTAACTGTCTTTAACAAAAGTCTAATTCTTTTATTTTCTCATTCTATGAAATTGAAACATAGTATTTTTGATAATACCTTTATTAATTCTTCATTATTGTTCTGATGGTTTTTCTTTATTATGTTGGCATGAAATTCATGTTACTGATTATTAAAAATGAAAAGGGTGTTTGTTTTAAAGAACAATGAATTATTCTTAATTCTTAGATAGAAATGAAGGTTGTTTTAATTTGTATGGTTCAAAATGAGTTGAAGTAATTAAAGAACATCAAAGAAATAATCTAATGCTCCTCCAAAGTCACGGAATAAGATGGACATATTGTATTTATCAGCTAAAGTTAATTTTTGTTGAAGAGAATATGGTGTAGGATAATTAGAATAACAATAATCATCCATATATCGGTCACTTAGAAATGGGGCTTCAATTGAATGTTCATGGGATGCAGGGTGATAGGTGATAGTAACATTTAATTTTTTAATAAATCTTAAATACGGTAAGTTTTGCAGATGAGTTGTACTATGTTTACAATACATTTTCCCTTCAAAATCAACAATAAACCCACCATTTTTTTTATTTCCTCCAAAATGTTTTGAAATTTGCTCTTCTATCCAAGGCATTGGTTGTAATGGTTGATATACCACAGATGATGGATCAAAATATTGAGTATCAATAAATACTGCATCACAAAGACTTTGATATGGAATAACATCTTCTCCTAATGGAATGATTTTGTATTTTAAAAATGTTTGTGGAAGATAATTGATTATTTGTTTTGTAAGTTCCTTTGGGATGGATGAGTCAAATAAAATACCATCATATCCTGTTATTTGTTCTTGAATTTTATGATATAATTCCATTGAAAACACTATAGAATCCATTTCTGTTTTAAGAATTGCAATCTTCTTTGATTGGATAGTAATGTCTTTGTATGGGTTTTGATCTACTACACTAATGATATTATTAATTGTTTTAATCATGATATGATCAAATGCAATTCCATCAAATAAATGTGCAAATATTGGTAATGTAATTGGATTTCTTTCATGATAACGAGTTACATGAGCAATCATTGGTATATGATGATATTTAGGGTGATTACTATATTTCATATGGTTTTGGATAATAAATTCTTTTGTTAAGTTTGAAGTAATTTGAATAGGGTCTTTTACTAATACTGGAGGTGGATATGCAAGTGTATAACTAACAAATACAATCAGTATGAATATCATTTCTTTAATATTTCTAAGATGACTTTTTTAAAGGAATAAAGACAATAAGAAATTTGTACAAAATATGATTTGAAATCTTTATTTTCAATAACATACTCTCATTGAAGATGGCAAGTCAATTGATTAAAAATTTAATGAACTTCATCACAACAATAACTGACACTGAAAAAGTACAAAATGAAATTCAAAAGAATTTACCACTTATTACAATAGAATTATGTCAACGAGATACTCATCATAAAACAAAAGAATTATTAAGAAATACACATTTATTAGAACGAATTAATATTTATCTTGAATCACATCCAAATGACATTAATTTATTGTTATTAGCAAATGCATATCACTTTAAAAGATATCCAATCACACCATCATTTATAACTATAGAACGTAATGATCTTCAAGAAATTTATTATAAAAGACTACGGTTTCTACAAGTCAAGTTATTTAATACTTCACTTAAATCATATTCAAAATTACCATTGAAAGAATTTAGAAATAAATTAAAAGAAATAGAAAAACATATAAATATTATAAAAGACATTTTAGTAATATTAAAATTGATTGATGAACAAGAAGATATGAACAATGAATTAATGATAAAAATATTTGAAGAGTATTTTATAAATGAAATGAAAGTTAATATTTTAGTTTCAAATGATGAAAGTCTCTATCCAGATGAAGAATGGTTTCAAAAAGAAGAATATCCACAAGAAAGTTTACCTATCTTAACACCAAGCTATTTAGATGAATTTGATTATTTATTAAGAAATAGTATTTTGTTTAGAAAAGAAACATTTGATAGTGCAAGTGATGATATTATGACAGAAATAAATGAACTTGGATTAAGTACAACTAAAAACGGAATTAGAATTAAGAAATATGGAAAACACACTCTTCCATTAATTGAGTTTCATGGAACTGAAGTTGATGAAGAAACTATTATTGGTAATAATAAAGAAATTAAATGTTCAATTGAAATTAATTTGAATGATTCAAGCGATGAAACAATTCAATGGTCACCATTTAAAAAGGAAATAATTTTTCTAGTTGAGTTAGATAATGATGGACAAGTCAAAAGAATTAGAGGTGGAGAAATTTTAGAAATTAAAGACAAAGACAATAAAACAAAAGGTTTTCAAGGAACATTTAGACGAATAGAAATTCAAATGGAAAGAAAGAAGTATCAAGAAGATAAACAAGAAAATAAACATACATTCCATATTATGATTTGGAGAAATAAAGATGTTGGAACATTTAAAAGAGTTCTTGAAAATGTTCATCAAATTATTCAACAAAAAAAGTTTGAAGGAATTAATGAAGAAGTAAAAAATGAATTATTAGGAATTTGTCATAAAGAAATGATAAAGAAAGAAGATAAAATTAAATTAAAACAAGACAAACATGAAGAAGTTATTTGTTCAGTTTTAAATGAAGGAATTCATTTAATAAAAGGAAAGAAAGGTACTGGGAAAACATTTATTGCAATGAAAATTGTAGAAAAATTAGCACAAACTAAAAAGAAAATACTAATTGTGAGTCATTCAAATCAAACAATCAATACTATTATTAAAGGGATTATTGAATCAGGAGTTGAAGATGGTATAATATTGAGATTAGGACATGGAAAGAAAGAATTAAAAGAAATGACACAAATTGACTTTAGTAAGAAAGGAAGAGTAGAAAAAGCATTATTAGAAAGAATGAGAATCTTAGAAGAATTACAAAAGATTGCTATTTTATGTAATATTCCTGTTCAAAATGTTCAAAGTTGTGAAATGGGATTACAATTTATTCAAATGGTAAAGAAACACAAAGAGTCTGGATTAAGTGAAACTCAAATAGACGAATATGAAAACAAGATTAAAATGCTTATTCCACTTGAAATTTTAAGAGCACAAAAACAAAAAGAAAAATACATTGAATTAAGTTATTGTCAAATCATTGGTGTTACTTCAACTTATGTCACAATGAATTTTGATGAATTAAAACAACGTTTTGACTATGTAATTGTTGATGAAGCAAGCCAAATGTTAGAATTAGAATTAGGATTACTCATATTGAAAATTGGATTAAATGGAACAAAAACTTTAATTCTTATTGGAAATGAAGAAGAAACACCTGTAGTTATTCATAACAAAGAAATAAGTGAATATACAAAATTAAATGAAGGATTATTTCAACGTTGGGCAAAACAAAATCAAACTTTAGAACTAATATCAGAAGATTAATAATACTTTCTTTTTGTCTTTTAATTGATAAATTTATTTTGCTACAAAAAACATTTCTACATTTGATATTAGATTCTTTAACATTTTTCTATTCTTTTATATTATAAGTAGATTGATAATTTAATGTATTTAATCTACCTTCTATTCTTCTTAATTTTTCTTTTAAAATTACTATTACATTTCATTTATTCTGTTTGTTGTAATGAATCTATTCAACTATTAATTTCATTGTTATGAAAATCTTTTAAATATTTATTTATAAACATTCTGTCTAAATAATTGTTCGTTTCAACCAAACTAAATTCAATTACTTCTAATTCAGTTTATAATATTAACTTGTTACTTGTAAATAACTCAGTACAATTAATAGTAATGTAATAACAAAATATTGATATTATGTGATTAAATTCAATCAAACACTTCTTATCATTCTATTTGATATGTTCTATTTGATAAATAAATTGTACAAGTAAACATT